TTTGAAAATACATGTTAAGCTGGGTGCAGTGGCTCACACCTATAATCCCAGCACTTTGGGAGGCCGAGGCAGGTGGATCACCTGAGGTCAGGAGTACAAGACCAGCCTGGCCAACATTGTGAAACCTCGTCTCTACTAAAAATACAAAAATTAGTCAGGGCCTGGTGGCGGGAGCCTGTAATCCCAGCTACTCAGGAGGCTGAGGCAGAAGAATCGCTTGAACCAGAAGGTGGAGGCTGCAGTGAGCTGAGATCATGTCACTGCACTCCAGCCCCCGGGCGACAGAGCGAGACTGCCTCAAAACAAAAATAAAATACTTTTTAGTAGTTACTTATATTGTAGCACAAAAACTTAAAATGATGCTAAAAGCTGCTCTGAAGCTGGGTGACATGACATGTACCTGTAGTCCCAGCTATTCAGGAGGCTGAGGTGGGAGAATCTCTTGAGCCCAGGAGTTTGAGGTTACAGTGCACTACAATCGTGCCTGTGAACATCCACTGTACTCCAGCATGGGCAACATGGTAAGACCCTGTCTCTAAAAATTATTAAAAAATATAAAAGTTGCTTTCAACCTTCACCTGGCCTGATAATGAGAAATGTGTTTTTTTGCATGTCTTCAAATTCCAGGCTTCACTTTCTCTGACATGTTTTCAAATCTTCAGGCCTACTCTTGGGAACCTGTTGTATAGCTTCAGGTTAATCAATGTGACATGAAAATAAGATGGGCCAGGGGGCTCTCTGGTTTAATAGATTCTGAAGGATTTTTTATTTTATTTTTGGAGACAGAGTCTCACTCTTGTCGCCCAGGCTGGAGTGCAATGACATGATCTCGGCTCACTGCAACCTCCACCTCCCAGGTTCAAGCGATTCTCCTGCCTCAGCCTCCTGAGTAGCTGGGATTACAGGTGCCTACCACCACACCTGGCTAATTTTTTTTGTATTTTTAGTAGAGATGGGGTTTCATGATGTTGGCTAGGCTGGTCTCGAACTCTTGACCTCAGGTGATCCACCTGCCTCAGCCTCCCAAAGTGCTGGGATTACAGGTGTGAGCCACCGTGCCTGGCCCCAACTTCCTTTCTTACTTTGATTCTTACTTTTCCAGAGATACAATTTTGCTTTTATTACTCATGATTTCAAAGGTGTAATGGTTCAGCCACATCAATGTAACAAACAGTTCACACTGGGCTCTTATAATGCTCTTTTATATTTTTAAATAATTTTTTAGGGGTAATGATCTGGCAGTTTTAGATTACTGGTTTCTCTGTGGAGAATTAAAGGGTGGCAAGAAGAAGCCATCTGACCACTTAGAAGTCCAGGTGAGAAGTGAGGAGGACTTGGGCTGGGGTGGTGGTCACAGAGATGGACAGGAACAGACTAATTTGAGACATCTTTTGGAGGCAGCAGAATCTGTAAGACTTAGTGATCAACTGGATGGGAAGGTTAAGAGGAATGGCAGAGTGAGAGGAAGACCATGGTTTCCGGCATACCAGCTGGGTGTACATGGTGGTGTCCATCACAGATATGGGGGAGGACTAGGCCCTTTCAGTCAGATAGAGCAAGAGAAGCCTATGGGATCTGTGAAAAATGTGATTGGTAACCTTTTCCCACCACACACACTTAAAGTACTAGTATGAATATAAGAGTGCTTGTACAATGATATGTGTTGCATAAGTAGTATGAGCTCTAGCTGGGATCCACATAGAAGCTTGAGGGGTGAGGAATAAAAACCTAGAGGGAAACACCCAGGAAATGGACACTAAAACATTAAGAAACTCCCCATGCCATGTTTTAGTTAGATTTTAGGGCCAGGAGAAAAGAATACAGTAACAATTCATTTTTGAATTTGATCAACTTACAATTCAAAGTGCAAGGAATGCTTAAATTTTAAAAATAATTTTATCAGAATGCAGATAGCTGATCTTGAAATATTTATGTAGCGAGATTATTATATACTTTGTCAGTTTCCTTAATGAATTTACCTGTTTTTAGGGAATGCAAAGTGTGATAGCATTTGCTACAGTACTAACTCGAAACCAAGCAATTAAGGCAATAAACCTAAACCGACCTATACTGTATGGTGAACAGGTATGTATTCAAAGTGATGGTAGTTAATATAACAACATGAATGAAACTAAGGTACTACTACAAGTTTATGTCAAGGTACATGAATACACTATTTTTAGACATGTGTGTACTATATCTTGTAAACTACTATTTATAAAAGTGTTTATTTAAAGGAAAATTATATCAATTCTTGGTAAGACGTTTATAACTAAATATGCTTTTAGATATTGCTTACTTAAGCAGCAAACATGTCATCTTTTCTCTTGAAACTCAAGTTCTTAGTGAGTAAACCTGCGAGGGTCAAAGTGGTCAAGATGAAAGCATAAATAATGAAGTGGTTTTTTTTTTTTTTTTTTGAGACGGAGTCTCACTCTGTTGCCTAGGCTGGCACGATCTCGTCTCACTGCAAGCTCTGCCTCCTGGGTTCACACCATTCTCCTAATAGTGAAGATTTTAAAGGCCACATTATAAGAGCCCAATGTGAACTGTTTGTTACATTGATGTGGCTGAACCATTACACTTTTGAAATCATGAGTAATAAAAGCAAAATGTGTGTGAAAAGCAGTCTGGAAAGTTTGGACTTGATCCTATCTATAGATAAGCTGCTTGCTGGAGACAGAAAGATGAGTAAAAACATGGTTCCTACTTTCATGACTTCTTGCTCCTTCTGGGTGGCTTTCTTCTCCTATCACTTGTAAACAGCTAGAGAATAACAACTCACATTATTATTGGTATAAACAAAAACGTATATCTAACTATTAGGAAAAGTAAATGGTCAAAGCACTTTATAAAGTTCAGTGTTTAAAATGTAATGTTTGGCCGGGCACGGTGGCTCACACCTGTAATCTCAGCACTTTGGGAGGCCAAGGCAGGCGGTTTGAGACCAGCCTGGCTAACATGGCAAAACCCAGTCTCTACTAAAAATACAAAAATTAGCCAGGCATGGTGGCAGGCGCCTGTAATCCCAGCTACTTGGAAGGCTGAGGCTGGAGAATCGCTTGAACCCAGGAAGCAGAGGTTGCAGTGAGCTGAGATCTCACCACTGCACTCCAGCCTGGGCAATGGAGCGAGACTTCATCTTCATCTCAACCAATCAATCAATGTCAATGTTTGAATTTTGAACTTTTTTTTTTTTTTTTGAGATGAGGTCTCACTCTGTCACCCAGGCTGGAGTGCGGTGGCATGATCTCGGCTCATGGCAGCCTCCACCTTCTGGCCTCAAATGATCCTCCCACCTCAGCCTCCTGAGTAGCTGGGATCACAGGTATGCACCACCATGCCCAGCTAATTTTTTTGTATTTTTGGTAGAGACAGGGTTTTGTCATGGTGTCCAGGCTGGTCTTGAACTCCTGAGCTTAAGCTATCTACCTGCCTTGGCCTCCCAAAGTGCTGGGATTACAGGCATCAGCTACCATGCCCAGCCAAACTCTGGACTTTTTAAATGATCAAAGCACTTTAGATAATTTAAAATTATCTACTTCATTGTTCCCCCTCAGTATGAATAACTGAGAATTAACGATATTTTTAAAGTAGTATTCTCATATTCAGAAGTGTATTTTACATTCTTTGCCTACATAGATATCTCCCTTTGAGTTATCTTTGCACTTTCCAGTACCAGAATTTTTGCAGTTTTACATCACCTTGTTTCATGTACATAAATCCAATCTATTCAACAAGACCCTCAGAATCTTCAAACAGATTCCTATTTTTAAAATATTTAAAAGGCTAGCAAAATACAGCTCAAAATAGGCATGCAGTGAATTCCTTCACTCATGATTCATTCACACCATGAATATTTGAATACAACCTTAAACCAGACACAATGCTAGCGAGGTGCTACAGGTATTAAAGTCAAATAAATTACATAGCACTTGTCTTCAGTGAGTTTTCCATCTAGGTGGAAGGAGCTTGACAAGTCTGGAGAGTGATATGCTTGGGGGTGCCATGGGGACATAAGGAGGGTAATCAAAATCAAAGCAGGGGAGGTGAGTGTGATAGAGAGGTTCTCAGATTGAGGATATGACAGGAGATTTGAAGGCTAAATAAAAAATTTCTGGATTGTATCTGTGCAGAAATATGTTTATATATAGGAGATCACATTATAAGCATGATCCCTTTTTAAAATATGTTGAGTGGTGTCATTCCTAAATCCACCTGAGGATGCTTATTATTAAAAGCCCAGGCCCCCTTGTTGCTCTCAGCCTGGTGTTTCTGGCAGCCAGCTAGGTGCTAGCCTGTTTTGTTCTTCTCCAGGACAGCCACTACCTTCTCTATCCCCAAGGCTACAATTCTGCTCTTAAATTGCTGTTCCCAAATACAAACCTGCAAATTAATTCCATTTATGGGTTTTACTGTTTTATTACCATGGAGGAATGGGATAACAAAAAGCTGTTAAGATGTTGGACTTCACCTTTAACACTCATTGGCATTATCCGGGGAGCTTGAAAAATACTGATGCCAGGTGCCACGCTAGACAAATCCAGTCACAAACTCGGTGAATGGGGCTAAAACCCTTTACTATTTCTGACAGTAGTTCCTCCCTTAATTAGGATACCCCTGCTTTCAAGCTTTGTAGCCTAGAACTGCAATCAAGGCCCAAACACAAAAACATAATAAGTTTGTCTTCTGTGCCTGGCACTAGGTAGAGCAATAGTGGAACCCCCTAAGTGTGATTGGTTTGCATTTTTTTACGTTCCTAGACTACACAGCATCCCTTTAGCATGGCTGGCTTGCATTTTTGAAGATACTAGTCCACATAACATTCCTTAGGGTATATCTTTTCAGTGTCAAAGCAATTTCAGCAAATACAGAATTACAGAATATTGAACAATAATAAATGCTTTGTAGTCTGCCTATGGAACACTTATTTTGTGCTAGGTACCTTTTTTCAGTTAACTTATTTCTGTGAGGGAAGCAAAATTTCAGCTACTTTATTAAAATGGAAATTGAGACTCAGCTGGATGAAAATATTTGCCCAAAGTCATATAGCCAGTAAAAGGTAAAGCTGGTATCTGACAGATTTGATTTTTATTTTTATTTTTTATTTATTTTTTTATTTTTATTTTTTTTTTTGAGACAGTCTCGCTTAGTCGCCCAGGCTGGAGTGCAGTGGCGCGATCTCGGCTCACTGCAAGCTCCGCCTCCCGGGTTCACGCCATTCTCCTGCCTCAGCCTCCCGAGCAGCTGGGACTACAGGCACCCGCCGCCTCGCCCGGCTAATTTTTTGCATTTTTAGTAGAGACGGGGTTTCACCGTGTTAGCCAGGATGGTCTCAATCTCCTGACCTCGTGATCCGCCCGCCTCGGCCTCCCAAAGTGCTGGGATTACAGGCGTGAGCCACCGCGCCCGGCCAGATTTGATTTTTATAAAGCTTATGTACTTTCTGCTATTGCTATGTGGTTTCATTTAAAGTTTTTTTCAAAGTACCTTTATATATAACAAGAACACATATAGTTATCTATGTTCATCATCAGCATTTCCAGTGACTAAAAAACTTATTATGTTATACAGCAATCATGCAAGAGTACTTCTTGTCACAAAATACTTTGGGCTATTCATTTGAAAATATGCTTTGATTTTGTTAAAAACTTAAAATGCCTGGTATTCAAATCTTCACTGATGCTATGTATCTTTTGCCTAGAAGCAACAAGATTGTGGAACTTAAAAAAACGTCTTCTGATGATCAGAATATAAGAATAAAACCTCTTAGGAATTTGAGATGAATATAAAAGGGAAGGATCAGATATATCACAGGGTTAATGAAAGTATTCTTAATATAAAATAAAGATTGGGAAATGTCTTCGTATTTTGTCTGAAAACCGTCAAGAGTAGAGATCAAGAGCAAAGTTCAGGAACATAAGGAAGGTACAAGAAAGGTTTAGAGATTTGAAAGATGGATTACATGCTCCATACATGATGGGACCATTTTTTTTTCCTTTCGAAATGACTGATTATTGTTCCTTTAAAAAACCAAATTAACCAGCATCTTTTACATCACTTAGGTAGCAGGCACTTGTAAAATATAGTGACTATATTTTACCTTCTGAGAAGGTAAAAAATATCATTTGTGGCAAAGATAATTTTTTTAAGATAGACTAAACAAATGCAAATTGTAGACTAACAGTTTTAACCAATATAATCTTTTTTAAAAGCTAATTTAAATAACAGCATATGTCTGATAAACATGTACTACTTCAAAATTATATTTTAGAAATAAGATTTTATCCACTTTTAGGAAGAGTCCACAGTCCATATAGGCCGCATGTTGAAAGAAAATCACTGTCTTGTTGTACTACACATGTGTAAGCATGATATAAAAAACAGTGGTATACAACAGTTATGTGATGCACTGTATCTGAACAGTAGCCTGCGCTACCTTGATGTCAGCTGGTAAGTGATAATTTACACATTAATAATTCAAAGTTAAATCATGGGAATAATCTATATATAAATATTCATGGTAATTGGGATACTTTGTTAGACATTATTTCCAATGATTAGAAACTGCAAACAATTGTCAACCCTTTGTCCTAAGCTTTAATATTTAATACTGCTGTCTTTTAGTAACATAAATGAGCAATTTAGTTGTGTAAACAAGAATGAAAGCAATATTTTATGGTGAATTTTCATTTAACTTTCTTGGAAATCAAGTGATTAAAATAAACCTTTACTAAAACACACAGTACTGTTTAAGTTTTCAAGCATCTTCTCACTATGAATGAAAACACTATTTCATATTTTCAAATATAACTATTTTTCCTTTCCCAGCAACAAAATAACTCATGATGGAATGGTGTATTTGGCTGATGTACTGAAAAGCAACACTACCCTGGAAGTAATAGATCTTTCCTTTAACAGAATAGAAAATGCAGGTGCAAACTATCTCAGTGAAACTCTTACTTCACACAACAGGAGTCTTAAAGCGTTAGTATGGTTTTATATTTAATCAAAATAACAAAAAAGCAAATTTTTAAATACTAACCTCAAACCCCTTAACTCTTAAGATGATGATGAAATATGAAAACTCAGCTTCTAAACTGACATTGTATTAAGTTACAGTAAACATTTAAATTTCTATTTTTCAAATGTACTGTCTTACAATTAGACTGGTTCTACTAATGATTCCTTCAAATTAATGAGAAAATTTGTATTGCTTATATTATTTATCCTGAATTGCAATAGAAAAATCAGAAGCATTCAATATGATCAAGACTTTTAAAAATAAAAATTAACTAAAGAATAAAATACTTGGATGCATTTATCCAGAAAAATATATCTGCTATCCACCCAAACATTTACTGAAAAATATAAAACAGAAGACTTTCAAAATGTAGTTAGTTCTACTAAGTACCTAAGGATCTAATTAGAAAACTAAGTTTCTTGGATTTTAGGAATTACATGGTCAGTATTTCTACCACTACATTACAACATACTGAGGAATAATGCTAAGACTACACAAGAAAATGTTTGTAATAAATGTTGCTAATTTTTGTATTCTTTCCTTGTGGAACTATTGGTTTCAGGTTGTCAGTAGTCAGCAACAACATAGAGGGAGAAGGACTTGTTGCACTTTCACAATCAATGAAAACAAATCTCACATTCTCTCATATCTACATTTGGGGAAACAAATTTGATGAGGCTACGTGTGTAGTAAGTTTTAAGTTTTTTCCTTCACTGAAGGCTTTTTCTGGGATCATCTCTGTAACATCAGATATTATTTACAGGTGCCTCAGAAATGGTTACACAGTGAGACACTGCAGTTTTGATAATTAACATAAGTCCTAAAATTAGCTACTAGAGAGTTTGGTGGTTGAAGTAACAAAAGACATTAAAACTATGTATTAGTATTACACATCACTGAATGACACAGTTCGAATTCCTCTAAGGTTAAAAAAAATCATAATTATCGATCAGATGCAGCAAAATTTCTGACCTGCTCCCTAATAATTATACCAAAATATGGAATGGGAGAGATAGAGTACAAGCTATCAAAATATTTGGCATGTTGCTCACATAAATACAGATAGCCTTTGATACTAATTTCAAAGCAGAAATAATGGTAACAGTTTTCATTTGGAAAGAATGAGGGGAAAAAGTAGATGTTAAAATTCTCAAAATTTGCAAAAGGACTAACCAAAATTCCACCACTAAAAAGAGTAATAAAACACACAGTATTGTCTAAACCACCCTCCCCAAAAAACCAACCCTTAATTTAAGAAAAACATCCGTAATCCTTTAGGTTCTACACACCAGAAGCTGAATAGGTTGAGTTTGGAACTGGAACTAATGATGAATGACAAGCTAAAGCAAAAACCAACTTGACTTTTAAATCTTTTAATGTTTAAATTTCCATCTTTCTCCATAATGCCAACCTTACTGACAAACCAGTTCAACATGTTTGTATGACTCTGTTACATAGATACTAAGGATCGTGGCTCATGCCTGTAATCCCAGCACTTTGAGAGGTCAAGGCAGGGGGATCACCAGGCCAAGAGATTGAGACCATCCTGGCCAACATGGTGAAACCCTATCTCTACTAAAAGTACAAAAATTAGCTGGCTGTGGTGGTGCGTGGGCCTGTAGTCCCAGCTACTCGGGAGGCTGAGGCAG